TATGCGATGAGCGTCAGTAATGATGCTCACTGAAGATTGCCAGTAAGAAGATTAGGTAGTGGGTGACTTTGATGCCCTGTGAGAATTGTGGGACATGAAGGCCATTGGGGATGGCAAGTGAGGATGGTCAGTGATGAGGGGCCAGAGAATTGGGACGTTGAGGAATGCCATGAATAAGGGCCAATGAGGAGCACGTGTTTGGAGAGTGATATGGGGAGTCAATGAAACTGCATGGCTATTGGCTGAGCATGATACCGCTCTCTCTCCTCACTAAGTTTATCAAACGAAGTTATATGATTGGCGCATCAAGGGCGTTTTAGAAAGGCATGCAAAGAGGCATTTTTGAAAAGTCCAACTCGTTTCTGCTCATAGGTTGATTATTTGCAGTAATGAAACACGTGTTTCGATTATCATCAAAATGAGTAGTACGCCAAATAGGCATATTATTTGTGCCTTTATTGGCGAGATTAATTTGTACTATTTTCTGTTTGAAAAATAATACAAACTCTAAAATTTACCGTGGAACTGAATAATATTATTACATTTGCATGCTGAAAGTCTGATAACTCAATTAGGGATCATACCAAACTGTCTGAATTACTTCGGTTTTATAGACAGATGAAAGGCCATATATCAAGGAGAATTGTCGTTTCGGTAAATAAAAAATCATAGAATCATCTCATTTTCAAACAAAGAAAGAATATTAACAAGTTGGTTTAAGGAAATGAATAAGTTATTAAACTTCGGAAGAAACTAGAAGACGAAACAAATAGACGTGTAGAAAACAGAGTTATATCGTATGTGGCGAACGGTTAACGCTTTTTTTTTTTTGTAGAAACTAATTTGATCTTTATGGACAAAAAGCTTGCTATGATTAAGAGTTTGACCCTCGTTTTGGTCTGGCATTGAGTTTTAGCAACATTGGAAGCAATTTATGGCATATCGTTATATTTTGTGTGAGAATGTTATCTGCCGACATTTGTGATTTGTGAACTTTTGTTTTCCAAGTTATGGTAGTAAATAAAAGCGCTGGCTTTTTTCCCATGAGAAACAAAGGTAGGTTTGCTGCAACGTTGCCTTGTTTTATACCAGGACGCCCGCGTGTTGATTGAAGCCATCGCAGTGGATTGCAGCGACTGAATCTTCCTTCTGAGCATGGTTGGCTTTTCTTTTTTTTTTCCAAGGAGAAGAATATGTGAATCCACGTGTGCCGTGAATAGTTTGCATATATTGCGCTGTCTGCTTAACAGGTCTGAGCATGTGCTGCCAACCAGAGTTCAATGGGAATAAACCAGCATTCTTATACTTACCGGGTGCTTGATTTCTTCAAACGCAGCTCTTGAAAATAACCTTCTAAAGAACCGATTCATAAAAGAGGCAATTACCAGTGACAAATGTCATATCAAATAGTGTATTAATTCTCCTATCGATGCTGCAGGAATGCATCAAGTGAAAACTTAAGAACCGTATCGTATGGCGAGTTCCACGGATCTTATTATCGCTACGCAGTAGATGGGATTGCGCTATTAGCCGACCAGAACGCCAGACAACAAAATCACGAGGCAAGATGCGAACAGAACAGAGGCGAACAGCGGCTCATGTGCAACCACGGAATACTTGCCCATGCGCAGTGCGTACCGGAGTGCCCATAGTACCGTATCAAATGTGCATAAACGGTTTCCTAAAACTATACAATTTAATCACCCCCCCGTGTTTTTTAAGCTGTCTCTGTCTTTAATTTAATAATTATGGAGGATTTAACTAACCAGGGGTTGGGACAATACTCTTATTCTTTCTCCTTTGTCATTTGTCCTTCGGCATTTTTATCGGCATACCTGCTACAATATCATTGGCTGGAGAATGATAATGAAAATGATCCGAACTTGCCATTCCCTGCGTTCCTTGGGCTCTTGGTTCCTCTTTTAAAGCATGAAATGTTTTTTTAACGCTAAACCCATCCCAAAATTTTGTTTTTCCGTTCGTCCGTCCGTCCGTGCATTTTCCGCTAAATTTAGCGGAAAATTTAGCGTCACGTGACCGATGCACCTTGGGGAAATTGACAGTATGTGTCGTTAACGTCGACTCAGTTTCCCCCCGGAAACTGAGTCGACGTTAACGACGGGAAAATTCACGTCTCGTGACCATAACATCAAATCAGTTTCCACGCTAAATTTAGCGGAAAATTGACGTCACGTGACATATACACCAGTTCAGTTACCGGCTAAATTTATCAGGAAAATTCACGCTTTGCGATCCACACACAAATCCAGTTCCCCCGCTAAATTTAGCAGGGGAAATCGATGTCACGCGACCTGACGTCACGTGACCTATACAACCATTCAGTTTCCCCGCTATATTTAGCGGGAATACTTCACATGACCAGCCAATTGTCCAATCAATTCCCGGACTTATTCCCTATGAAGCATTTCATGCATCACAAGACTTTGAAGGTTAAGGTCACTGTCAATCTTTTATGAAACCTCCGATAGACAGTTCCTGAGCCCAAATGATGATTGGCTGCCCAGTGGCGTCCCGCGGCATCGCCACATAAAGCTCTGCAAAGAGCACCTAGAAAAACAAGCTTGGGGGCTCTAACTGACGTCACTCCAATGTCACGACAAGAAGACGGCTACATTGAAAAAACGGCGGAGGACGTATTTTCGTGCTGGAAAGCAAATGCTCTGCTTGAGCGTGTTTCAAAGGTTCATTCGTGGTGGTCTTGCAGAGCACATTTTCTCTGTGATCTCAATTGTATAACCCGAATGCTAAAGTTTATTGGAAATGATACCGCTTCAACTGTCGTCCTGTCAAAAACGTACATTATGTCACAGTGCTGCGGGAACAAGGCAACGTGGGGAAAGGCGCCCATGTTTAATTTTATTTATGATGGTGGTTTGTCAAAGGTACACAAATACATTGATACTACAAGAATGAGATTTCCGTTCAATTCAAAGGACAAAAATACTCCTCCTATAACCGCGTTTGTAGTGCAGCTAACAACCAGGCAGCAATGCATAGTCGCTGTCTGTTTACATACAAAATAGGTTTGAACAACTGAGAGGAAAGATGAATCTTGTGCTATTTTGCTGGAGCTTCTGGGGTTTTTAATAACGCATATCAACCTTTTGTTGCTCAAACTGAGCTCTCAAAGTCTGTACACTAAAAACAAACAAAAAATCCACTACGCCTCCAGGTTCAACAAAGCACGTACATGGGATAACCAATCGTCTGAGTCTACGTAGGGAAAGACGAGGCTGGAAATACATTTCCACTCACAAAAAGAGATCACCTGTGCTGTGAAATGATAGTGACGTGAGCACGTGAAACTTCATGATTCGCATCACGGCGCAGGCTGTTTTTTTTTTTGATCTAAATATGTCTTCAGCCCCGCCTTTCGCCGAGTTCCCTCCATAAATTTAGGCGATTGTTTCTCCCAATTGTCCATTGTGGGAAAGCAAACGTACCCAATTTGTTAGAACGTGTAACACAAAAACAGCGGCGGATTGTTTAACAACCTCCTATTTGAGAAAAACCAAAGTATCGTCATTTATGTTGAGAAACGGATTTTAGGGATGTGACTAAAGCGCATGTAAGTCTAAACTTTAGAGAATATTCTCTTTATGGTGCGGAATATTCCTTCAACAAATTGGACGTCTTCACTCAGTTTTGATAAATAAGTTGATCAATCCAAGAGGAACATGTCATTCTCTTTAAAGTACAAATTAAGTGCAAAGGTTATAAATTTCTTCCTCGCTGCGCAAATTCATCGGCCTATGTTTCATCATGTGAAAAGGCGGAATAATTCAGTCAGACACTTCTCATTATCTCACAATCAAGAGGCTGCAAGATATGAACTTTTCCGTTAGAAGTTTTAAATATATCTTCACCCACGGATACGTTGGTTGCTTTCGTTTCAAAATCTGGCGCACAAAAATCGGAAAACTAGGTTGTAGTAATGAAACGTCATTTGCTCCAGTTTTTCAGTTCTCGCTATTATTCTACATATGTGTGTGTATAAAGCCTGGCATTTTTCTTTTTTAAACGCTTTACAGAATTGCTGCTGCTTGATGAGGACGAGCCGGAAACGGGATAACAAAAAGTATGACCGAGACGCTTGCAGGCGATCGACATTTTCGTCTCCTCTTCGCACCATGTATTGCATACGGGGAACAAAAACCACGTGGCCACAATCGAGCAATTGAAATCACTTTCAAATCTTGGCACACTAGTTCGTACTAAGCGACCAATACAGCCCATACATGTAGGGCACCGCCTTTGTGTGTCGGAAAGACTGCACCTGCCTGGCCATCGACGAGATCAACTACATTTAGCGCGTACGTGTTCGCTTTTCCGCCGCTATTGGTAACAATATAATCGTAGTTATTTGAACCTCGTCAGTTATACTTTTACGACATTCCTATCTTTCTTTGGCCCGCATCCTCTAATCTGAGGATACTGATAATTTTTTATCTAGTTCGTATTACCTTTCTCAAGAGATATACATCTTCGGCCAAAATCATCTAACACTTTATCGTTTCCCTAAGCTTTGCTATCACCTGCGTCATTATTCTATTGTACTTTTTTTATTGTCAAGGCAAGTAAGCGTCGGTGTAGAGAATAAACTGTAGAAGATGACTCGTGAGGTGATCTCCTTGAAATCATCCGGCAAAATGTCCTACCCGATCAGGTAAGGATGGTTCACTCAATTTAGTGCTCGAAGGCTGCATTTCGTAGTTTTTTACGGATTTTTTTGGGTGGTAAAAATATGATAAAATGATAAAAAAATATTTGAGCTTATTTTTCTACAATACACGAAGTGAGCCAATTATGGTGGGTGATAGAAGAAAGAGGGTATTAAACGTAGCTCGGAATATAATTAGACTTAAAAATATTTGTGGCAAATTGCTAGGCAACTGTGTTGCGTACGTGAAGCGCTCTAGTGTCATAAACGTTTAGCGATATCCTGATTTTCACAATTGCAGGGCTGACAACCCGGGCGATCTTCCAGAGACTTCCATACTCTCGAACTGCTCTCACTCAGTGCGCACAGGTGGATCCCCCCCCCCCTCCCCCCCCCCCCCCCCCCCCCCCCCAGCTCTTCCTCGCCTATCCCTCTGGTCACTTGACCTCCCTCGTCAACCAATCGGCATCAGCTTCGCAGCACGCTTACACGCTTGATCAGGTTTTTCGAAATGTTGAGAACCTAGGCAAAGAACTTTTCTCGTGAAACTACTAGGATGTGTACAGAAACAACATTGAGCATGTGGGTTCAATATTCATTGTTCCTGCGCGTATTCCACCTTTTGATATCTAATCGTATTCTAAGCTCTTGTTATTTACTGGCATCCTTCTACTTTTCACCGTAATCGGCTAACTACGTGTTTAGCAAGAAGGTAAATTACCATACGCATGTAGCTTTTGAAACAAGCAAAACTGAGTTGAAAAAGAGCCTAGAGAAGAGGTGTCACGGTTGCGTACGATCGAAAACATATGTTTTCGATCGTACTTAATATGTTAATGTCCCGACTTCACTCTGGTGGATGGCACTTGAATAACCAATTACTTGATCGAGCGAGAAAGCTCGCCAGGTGATTGTGGCTAATAAGCGCCTCGATATAAGAACAACTCGTGAGATCTTACGCGGTGTCTTGCGCGTTCATGCATAATGCCATTTCCTGTGTCCAGATGGCTGACCCTATTTTTTAGAGGGCAGCTCTTAGGCTCCCGTTCACGTGCTTCGCGGAGTCGGCGTCGCCATCGGCGTAAACGCGCTAAGTTACGCGCGAAAATTGGCGTCACGTGACCTCCACACCTATTCAATTCCCCGCTAAATTTAGCGGGGAATCGAACTGCTGTTGAGGTCACTTGATCTAGCGGAGAAACTGTGGGAAGAGGGGAGGGTATCGAGGAGGAGGAGGGGAGGGTACGAAGGAGTTGGGTGGGAGGGTACGGAGGAGGAGTGGAAGGTACGTAGGAGGAGGAAAGAAGAAGAAGGAGGAGATGATGTGGGAAGGAGGAGGGGAGAGGGAGAGAGAGAGGAGGAGGAGGAAGAGAGAGGAGAAGGGAACAAGGAGGAGGAGCCCAAGCTGCACGGATTTTGGCCTAGCATTGTCCATTGGCTCGCGATGGTTTTTTAGCCAACGAGTGGCCATGCATCGTGCCAGGCCGATGGCTGATGGCTAATGGTCATTGGCCAATGGCCAGAGGAAGGTCATTCAACGGCCAATGGCTGGCCGTTGTATTGCCACTGGCCAAACGAACATTGCCAGGCATTGATCAATGATTGGCCAAATTGATGCTGCCTGGGAGGGGTATACCATCCCCTCCGTTACCTCTCCTTCTTCTCCTCAAGAGGCCGGTGCGCTTTAATTTCGCATTACAGAGATTTGTAAAGGTCTTTAATTTTTTTTTGTTTCTTTTGGCAGGCTTGAGAGAATTGAGAACAGTTCTCGCGTTTAGCAGTGCGCATGTTGGCAAGCGCAATACTCGTCCGCAAAAAAAAAAAAAAAAAGAAAAAGAAAACTAAAAACAAAGCAAGCACTGGTTCGGCAGCGTAAATTGGGAACCTTCGCTGTAACACCACTCCCTCAAGATAGTGTTTGGTAAGAAGTTAAAGCATTACGATATCTATGATTTCATTCGGAGTAAAATCAAGAAAGAATAAACAGTAGGACGAAGACGACACAACCAGATCTTCCAACATTGCTAGTTGGAAGATACGGTTGCGTTGTCTTCGTCCTACATTTTCATTCTTCTTTCAATCTTGACTCGCACCAATACTCTCGTCGTCCACTAATAGATTCAAAACAACGCGATATTACAGTGACAGGTTGACAGCTGTTCGTGAGAACGCCCAGAAGAACATGTGACACACGTTAAGCAACAGCTTAAATGCGCTGAAGATTTTGTTTCAATTGGATTTTTTTCTTCTTGCCAATAGAAGTGCCATTCGAGTTGGAAGCACGATGTATATCTCAGGCCAACTTGGGATTAGCCAGGAGACCGGCTCTTTGGTTCCCGGCGGAATTTCTCCCGAGACACGACAGGCAAGTTCCCTACAACCGCATAGTGCTTGTTTCTTATAAAACGCTAAAAAAAAGTAAAATGTATAGAAACGTGTTTTGTTCGTAATTGCATACTTGATTGTATCGTGCTGTGAGGAATTAAAAATTAAACCCGGCGAGGCGCCTGTCATTTTTTCTTTTTTTGTAAGTACCAAATATCTATAATCTGGCATTACGTTTAATGAAACCTAGCGATCGACTAGCCTTGGCGGTTATATGGTCAACATGTTTATTCCAACTTAAATTTGACGAAAAAATAACTTCTAAATATTTAGTTTCATTTAAAAGGATGAAGGGCAATCCACCCATGGTGTATGAAGAAGGGAAGAAATTCGTTTTTCTTGTGAACCTGATATAGACACATTTCGATATATTCAAAGACATACGCCATTGAAAACACCAAGCTTCAATCCTGTCCAAATCACATTGAAAAACAAGGGCGTCAGCATTACATGAAACATCTGCGTATAAAACGCAATCATCGGCATATAATCTTATTTTAGAAGAAACTTTTTCGACCAGATCATTAATGAAAATTAAAAACAGGAAAGGTCCGAGTACCGATCCCTGTGGGACACCAGATGTAACTTGGACTGACGGGGACCAAATCTCATCAATTACTACAGACTGTTTCCTGTAGCTTAAGTAGTCACCTATCCAAAAAAAATTTTTTGGAATCAGTGTTTAGTTTCCGAAGCTTAAACATGAGGAGAGCATGTGGAACCACATCAAAGACCTTATTAAAATCTAAAAATATGCAGTCGACCTGTTTTGCCCTATCGAATGACTATGCCAAGTCATGATAGAATTCAGTTAACTGAGTAGCGCAGGATAAACCAGAACGGAAGCCATGCTGAGCTGGAGTAAAAAAATTAATTTGGGCAAGGTGACTCATGAGACTGGTGTAAATCACGTGTTCCATGACTTTACAAGATTCACTCGTAAGAGAGATTGGCCTGTAATTAACGACTAAATTTTTGGGACCAGACTTGTGAATCGGGACAACATTTGCAGTTTTCCAGTCATGTGGTAATACATCAGTCTCCAAAGACACTGTAAATATAATGGTCAAGTAACGGGAGATAACATCAGCACAGGACTTTAAAACAGTGTTCGGGATATCATCGGGACCAGACGCTGAACCTTGCTTTATTTTGGTTAAAAGCTTAAAAATACCATGCACGTCAAAATAAATTTCAGACATGCGAACCACAGGATTAACCGTTACTTCGGAATGATCATAATCACACGTAATGACATCCGAAAATACAGACCTAAAGTAATTATTAAAAGTGACAGCCTTTAAGTTGTCATCGGTGACAATGTCACCACCGACACTCAAAGGTGGGACGCCCACGGTATCCTTACGATTTGATCGAATGAACTTCCATAACTCCTTCGGGTTCTGTTTAAGCTGAGTATTTAGCGTCGCGAAGTAATTTGCTCGGGACGAAGTTATCGCATTCTTGAGGGCAGCTCCTATCTCAATTAATTTTCCGTAAGATGCAGAGTCATGGCGTGTGCGGTATTGTTTCAGGGCACGTTTATTTTTATTTGTTAATCTGCGCAATTCAGGATTAAACCATGGTTTGTCACGACGTCGCTTGGACGAAAGAATTCTAGATGGAACGAAAGTTTCAACAAGGGTTGATAATCTCGTTTTAAAAATGTTCCACAATAAATGCACGTCAGCTGATACGCTTAATTCTTTAAAAGCCGGAAAATATGAACTTAGGTTATTCGATAGGCCAGTATAATCACCCCTATCGAATAAGTACACTTTCTTAGGACGAAACGAAAAATCATGTTTAAAAGAACAAGCCAAATTAGCGACCACAGCCATATGGTCACTAATTCCAGGAATGACTGTCTGTAATAGCCGAATCGTAATTACTGAAAAGAAAATCTAGCAGACTCGAGCGGCTGGGAGAAATTCTCCTGGGCTCGTTAACAAACTGTTTAAGACTGTAGTCGTTAATGAGATTAATAAATGCTGCGTATATACCAGAAGAGCTAGCAGCTAAAGGCCGGTGATCTATCCATTGGATTTCAGGTAAATTAAAGTCGCCACCAATAACAACAAAACCGTCTTCGACCACTGACAAAGCATTATACAAAGAAAAAACTGGGCTAGCATCACTTGCTGGCGGCCTATAGAAACAGCCTACGGAAAGGTAGTTGCCATTTTCAAGGTAGACGCGGCACCAAACCGTTTCAAAAGATAAGCCATTGAAATCAATCTTGCAGCTTTTTAAACTTTCATGAATAAGCAAAAAAACACCACCACCTGAAACATTCCTGTCTTTACGATACACTGTGAAATGCACTGGAAAAACTTCCGAATCGGATATAGACTGATCAAGCCAAGATTCCGTCTCAATAACAATGCTAGCACCAGTGACCAAGATTGGAGCAGCAAGATCGTCAGTTTTGTTTCTAATACTTCTACAATTTACATTTAGAACGATAAGATTAGTAAGAGGTGCGACTACATTCTGACGAGGCCTTTTTGATTGTCAGGCAGCAGTATTTTTTACGGACCTAGTGACTGCATCAACGTAAAAGGATTGGTCACCAATATGTAAGCGGTTATACTTGAGTTGAAATCTGCAATCTTTTGACTTTGCAAATTGTAGAAGAATTTTGCGTTCACTTCGAATTTTAGGTGAAAAATCCTCGCTAAGTGAGAATGGAGTGTTCTTTAGCCTCGATCCAAGGGACAAAATATCTTGTTTCTGCTTAAATGATGAGAATTTCGCAATGAGAGGCCTGTTACGATTCGCTCTGAAAGCTCCCAGCCTATGCGCAGGTTAAAAGAACGAAGAATTAATTTCAACGCCTAGAACTTCCTGGCAAAGGGAGACAACTTTAGTCTCCGAGGCAGTCCAGGTTTCGCCAGGGGAGTCAGTTATTCCATAAAAAATCAAATTCGACCTCCTTGATTGACTTTCGAGGTTATCACACTGCGAGGATAGACTCTTAATTTGCGCGGCCATATGGCTCGTAGAGATATTAAGGTGATCCATATCAACCCGCAACTGTGGTAGCGAAGCCAAATTGACTTCGACAGCCGTAAGTCTGTTCGTTAATTCTCCCATTTTTTTGTCTAATGAGTTCTGGTTATTTTTTATTGTCTTTAACTCATTAAGAAGCTCTGTTTGACCCGCCTGTAGTTGAGGAAGAATAGCCAGACTCTGCAACATAAGCTGTTCCTGAGCTTCCGTGAGGGGACCCGGGTTAGATTCGACGTCCCCAGCAAGCAATAGTAACAACTTGGCACAATAAAACAAAAACACAAAACACACTGCTTGGGCACAGCAGCAGGACAAGGCATCTATCATCAGATCGAAACATAGAGACGTTGTATTTACTGACCTGCATAGACAGAAGAAGTGGATTAAGTGACATCCTGTTGGCGGCCCTGCCACTGTGCCCACTGAAGACGTCCGCCGACGGTCGTTTCTTTATATGCTCCCAAAATACTGTAGATGATGATGATGATGCCAAGGCCAGGCCTGACGCGTCGATGCAAGGGACGGTAAACTCCGAAAAGGGAGGCGCTTCTTTGTAGATAAACCGATTCGTCGTGTTGGCCAAATCTTGCAGACATGACGAAGAGGTTAGATTGCCGTTGACGAGCTTGTAGTGCTGACCGGTCGTGGAAGGGATACCAAGAAGCAGCAACAGCTGCATAGACAGAAGAAGTGGATTAAGTGACATCCTGTTGGCGGCCCTGCCACTGTGCCCACTGAAGACGTCCGCCGACGGTCGTTTCTTTATATGCTCCCAAAATACTGTAGATGATGATGATGATGCCAAGGCCAGGCCTGACGCGTCGATGCAAGGGACGGTAAACTCCGAAAAGGGAGGCGCTTCTTTGTAGATAAACCGATTCGTCGTGTTGGCCAAATCTTGCAGACATGACGAAGAGGTTAGATTGCCGTTGACGAGCTTGTAGTGCTGACCGGTCGTGGAAGGGATACCAAGAAGCAGCAACAGCTGCATAGACAGAAGAAGTGGATTAAGTGACATCCTGTTGGCGGCCCTGCCACTGTGCCCACTGAAGACGTCCGCCGACGGTCGTTTCTTTATATGCTCCCAAAATACTGTAGATGATGATGATGATGCCAAGGCCAGGCCTGACGCGTTGATACAAGGGACGGTAAACTCCGAAAAGGGAGGCGCTTCTTTGTAGATAAACCGATTCGTCGTGTTGGCCAAATCTTGCAGACATGACGAAGAGGTTAGATTGCCGTTGACGAGCTTGTAGTGCTGACCGGTCGTGGAAGGGATACCAAGAAGCAGCAACAGCTGCATAGACAGAAGAAGTGGATTAAGTGACATCCTGTTGGCGGCCCTGCCACTGTGCCCACTGAAGACGTCCGCCGACGGTCGTTTCTTTATATGCTCCCAAAATACTGTAGATGATGATGATGATGCCAAGGCCAGGCCTGACGCGTCGATGCAAGGGACGGTAAACTCCGAAAAGGGAGGCGCTTCTTTGTAGATAAACCGATTCGTCGTGTTGGCCAAATCTTGCAGACATGACGAAGAGGTTAGATTGCCGTTGACGAGCTTGTAGTGCTGACCGGTCGTGGAAGGGATACCAAGAAGCAGCAACAGCTGCATAGACAGAAGAAGTGGATTAAGTGACATCCTGTTGGCGGCCCTGCCACTGTGTCCACTGAAGACGTCCGCCGACGGTCGTTTCTTTATATGCTCCCAAAATACTGTAGATGATGATGATGATGCCAAGGCCAGGCCTGACGCGTTGATACAAGGGACGGTAAACTCCGAAAAGGGAGGCGCTTCTTTGTAGATAAACCGATTCGTCGTGTTGGCCAAATCTTGCAGACATGACGAAGAGGTTAGATTGCCGTTGACGAGCTTGTAGTGCTGACCGGTCGTGGAAGGGATACCAAGAAGCAGCAACAGCTGCATAGACAGAAGAAGTGGATTAAGTGACATCCTGTTGGCGGCCCTGCCACTGTGCCCACTGAAGACGTCCGCCGACGGTCGTTTCTTTATATGCTCCCAAAATACTGTAGATGATGATGATGATGCCAAGGCCAGGCCTGACGCGTCGAAACAAGGGACGGTAAACTCCGAAAAGGGAGGCGCTTCTTTGTAGATAAACCGATTCCTCGTGTTGGCCAAATCTTGCAGACATGACAAAGAGGTTAGATTGCCGTTGACGAGCTTGTAGTGCTGACCGGTCGTGGAAGGGATACCAAGAAGCAGCAACAGCTGCATAGACAGAAGAAGTGGATTAAGTGACATCCTGTTGGCGGCCCTGCCACTGTGCCCACGGAAGACGTCCGCCGACGGTCGTTTCTTTATATGCTCCCAAAATACTGTAGATGGTGATGATGATGCCAAGGCCAGGCCTGACGCGTCGATACAAGGGACGGTAAACTCCGAAAAGGGAGGCGCTTCTTTGTAGATAAACCGATTCCTCGTGTTGGCCAAATCTTGCAGACATGACGAAGAGGTTAGATTGCCGTTGACGAGCTTGTAGTGCTGACCGGTCGTGGAAGGGATACCAAGAAGCAGCAACAGCTGCATAGACAGAAGAAGTGGATTAAGTGACATCCTGTTGGCGGCCCTGCCACTGTGCCCACTGAAGACGTCCGCCGACGGTCGTTTCTTTATATGCTCCCAAAATACTGTAGATGATGATGATGATGCCAAGGCCAGGCCTGACGCGTCGATACAAGGGACGGTAAACTCCGAAAAGGGAGGCGCTTCTTTGTAGATAAACCGATTCCTCGTGTTGGCCAAATCTTGCAGACATGACAAAGAGGTTAGATTGCCGTTGACGAGCTTGTAGTGCTGACCGGTCGTGGAAGGGATACCAAGAAGCAGCAACAGCTGCATAGACAGAAGAAGTGGATTAAGTGACATCCTGTTGGCGGCCCTGCCACTGTGCCCACTGAAGACGTCCGCCGACGGTCGTTTCTTTATATGCTCCCAAAATACTGTAGATGATGATGATGATGCCAAGGCCAGGCCTGACGCGTCGATACAAGGGACGGTAAACTCCGAAAAGGGAGGCGCTTCTTTGTAGATAAACCGATTCCTCGTGTTGGCCAAATCTTGCAGACATGACAAAGAGGTTAGATTGCCGTTGACGAGCTTGTAGTGCTGACCGGTCGTGGAAGGGATACCAAGAAGCAGCAACAGCTGCATAGACAGAAGAAGTGGATTAAGTGACATCCTGCTGGCGGCGCTGCCACTGTGCCCACTCAACATGTAAAATAAATTTCGCGCCGTCAATATTGTCCAAAAATTTTTGTTTCGCGTAAATTTTTTTCTTTACGCGTGTTCCAACCAGACTTTTTTAAAAACTTGTTTTTTTCTTCTCGGGGGGCCTTTTAATAATGTATAAAATTGTCGTATTAAAATTATCTAACTTCTCGGATGTTTGTTTAAGGGCTCGCCAAAGCGGCAGTGTAATAATTTTTTTGTTGCGAGAACCTGCAGCGTGCTACTATCTTTGAGTTTATCTTAACACTTCTAAAAAAAAAAATGCGTCGCTTTCTGACACCACAACGTTATAAAGAAAACAAAATAACAAATGACTCTTTTATCTCGGGTCGGCCAGGGGAAACCCGTTATGTCGTCCTCAGGCTGTACGTTGCAATAAATAGTGAAGCTGGGCATCGATTACAAAATTTTGCTCGAATAATCGCCACCCTTTAATCGATTAATTAATCGATTAGTCGGTTTTTTCCAATTTCGTCCATAGTATTTTTTTTTAAAGTAAAAATTACATGTTTTGTTTTTGCTGTGATAAACGGTGCAATGTTCAATTTCGAATTTTAAATCAACCTTCAAGTGCAGTTGAGAACAGTCAAGACACCCACATTGCAAATTATTACTTCAGCCGCAAAAGGGGTTTGTTGGTATTCTCCGGCAATAGCGAACTGCCTTTGATTGTTAAGAGTCTCTGCTACGCCAAACGCACAGTCGCACCACGTTGAAGTGGCTGACACCCGTATAACCCTGTCCACATCTTTGGAGTTACAAATTTCTCCTAAATTTTACCTTCATGCAGGTGTACTCGTCCACGTCTGCGTAGTGAAAGCGTTGAATTTTTACTTTTGTTTTGTTAATAAAATTTCTACCATTGGATGGTTAAAATATTAATCGCAATTAAAGCATTCATCGATTAATCGGTAAGTTATTCGATGAGGTGCCCAGCCGTAGTAAATAGGCGAGTTGTCCAATTTTGGGATCAACTTATAGATGCAGGGCCTCTAAATATTTTTGTCTAAGTATAATAAATGTGTCAAAAGCATTTTAACCGTCGCCAAACTATGATTAGACGGCGAGACTGGCGCTGTTTACTTGAAGACTAAAAAATCATCCACTCTCTGCTGTTTACGTGAAGAACACATACGTCAAACGCTTTACTATGAAATACATCGTACGTCGCGAGAATCCAAAGGCATTGGCGCCGACAGATTTTGTGTAGTTGGAAAATCTGGACCTGCACAGCCTCGGCAGAGCCGTGTATAGAGAGAGTTTGGTCAATGGGAGGAGCGGGTAGAGCTAGGGCGTGCACCAGACGCAGACAGAGGGCTTGGCATGCGCTCTTGGCCAACCAGAAGGCAGAAGGAATGCACTAGCGGTGGTAGCACGAAACAGTTATAGTAAGAGCACAAGGGTTAAATGTAGTAACTCTTTATGGTTGAAAATAGGGTGCACGTGTTGTTTCGAGTATGATCAGGCAAACAGATGTAAGAAACGAATGTGCCTCTCGAACTCTGTTTTCCTCGCACAGAGTGTTACCGCTCGGACGGCAGAATCCCGGCCCTCGGCGCCTGGCGTGCGAATTATGTCGATCGTTCCGCTAGTCGCGCTGTTCCACCACAAATTTCGATGACCGTGATTGAAACATCACGGGCATCATATTTTCAGTCACCGAGAGTTACTCCGACGCACTTATTAATTTTGTTTCTCGCGACCACCGCCAGGGTAATATTCCCGTCTTCTTGTTGGCAACATTCGAATTTGTGAAGACGCCCTGGAGCACGCCCAGACCGCTTTCGGCCCATGGCATCCCCTCATTTGCCTCCTACACCTCCCAATGATGGGCCAAACTAGCTCATCTCAAGCCGATAATTGCTCCGTAGCTTGGGCGCAAATGTGAATGCGTTCTTACTGCCGTTCCGTGCATGCGCGGCGCAGGCTTATGTGCTTGCTGGGACAACGTTGAGGACGACCTCTAGAACGACCTCGAGGACGACCTCTAGGACGACGTCGTGACGACGTCCTAGAGGGTCACGTCAAAGACGACGTCTAGAACGATCTGACAACCTTTAGGGAGATCTCAGTGATGACCTTTATGATGACGACGTTCTCTCAGGTGACGTCCTGGAGGACGACTTCAAAGATGACATTTAGGAAAATCTTTCGGACGACCTCAAGGAAGACCTCTAGGACGTCGTGCGTATGCAGACGTTCTGTGTATGAGGAGGCGCCGCGCCTACGCACGGCGCATTTGAGGCCAGAGAGCGTATCGAGAAAACTTGGTGAAGAGGCTGAAGAGTGCTACTACATTAATAAGCTAACCCACTTAGTCGAACGTTTTATTCCACTGACCCGCATTCAACCGTGGCCGGTCGACAATTCAGTCTTGTGGGATGCTTACCATGTGTGTGCTAGGACATATATAACCACCATTACTGATTCTAAAACAAATTTTATACTGGTGACCTCTCCAACATTTTAATAAACAAACCCACAAAGTTATGGAAAGTGGTCAACCCAGCTCTGTCACTTCCTTTTCAGCTCATATATGACCCCGGCATTAGACTGTCAGGTGGAGATAGCGGTCTTAATCTTAACAATTTCGCCACATCAATCAATACTTGGTGAAACTGAATTTTTCCGCTAAATCTAGCGGAGAAACTGAATTACCACGCTAAAATAAGCGGCAGTTGAATTGCTGTTCAGGTCATGTAACGTCCATTTTCCCGCCAAATTTAGCACAGAAACTGAATTCGGTCATAACTCATGAGACACCAAATCATGGGATGTCATTTTCCCCGCTAAATTCAGCGGGGAAACCGAATTGGTGTTGAGGTCAGGTGGCGTCAATTTTTCAGCTAAATTTAGAGGGGGAAACTACGGGAGGAAAGAAGGGTATAGAGGAAGAGAAGGGGAGGGTACAGATGAGGATGAGGGGAGAGTACGGAGGAGAAGGAGGAGGGGCGAGGAGAAGGAAATAGAGGAGGAGGAGGAGGGGCATACCGTCCCCTCTTCCTCCTCAAGAGTGCGATCTAATTTGGAGTTGGAGAGATTTGTAAACGTCTTTCACTTTTTGTTTACTGTTTTATTTTTTTTTTCTACCCGCTTGTACGGTGGGATCATTAGGTTCCGGGACTGATTTTGTAGCAAAAAAAGAGAAGGCAGCACAGTGATGCGAGCGCAGCAGTCGAAGGAAAGGGCCTTCGTGTCTCGTTATACCAAGGGGTTCCGCTATGTGAATATTTAGAGCTGCGCCACACGAGTTCGTTTGACCATATGCACGAGCCTAATGGCGATCTCTCCATAAACTTCAAACGAAAGCGAGAGGGAACATCAATTTTACGTCAAACTTGGCAAATCTAAACCAGCGGCCTCTGCATTAATTTAAAAGATTATTCGCGCAGAAAACCCACAATGACGAAGCAACCAGGCTCGTGCTCTCACTAATTGAGGTCGGGAAGGGGGGGGGGGGGGGCACAAACGCGCGTTAGCTCTTCTGGAGGGTAAATAAATGCACGAGGCGGCGCAAAAAGCAGACTAACTTGAGCGCTGTATAGAGTGATTTAGAAATGAGCGCAGATACTGCCACAACGCAAAATGACTGTTTGTCAACATGACAGAGCAAGAATAAAACAAACTCGGCCAAGAATCCCTTATTCTCTACTGTTAATTTCGCTGTTTGAGGTGATGATAATTTTTTTTTTCTGACCATTTGGTAGGCCCTTACGAAGCTTGGAAAGGTGTTGGAAGCGGGGAGAATGAGCTACAAAAACGGTAAGTTCTGAACTCTATTCGAATAGAAAGTTGTCTACTTCTTGTGCAGGGGTTGCGGTGACGTCAGTACGACGCCGAGTTTTGATTGGCTGACTGATAAAGAAATAGTGGGTAGACCTCAAGGCATCTAGCATCGAAGTCCACCCACTCCTTGTTTTCAATCAGTCAACAAGAGTTCGGCGTTTTGACATCATCGCAACATCTGCTCAAGAAGCAGATGACCTTGCGCTCCGCATAATCACTAACAGAGTGAGAACGGTGGGGCGTATCATTTGAATGCCCGGCCTACAGCACGACTTTCATGCCTTCCGTCGTGCTCTGGCTGCTCGCGCGCACTTCAGGCGGAACCTGGAGGCCTCTCTTTGTGATTATATCAGCAAGGCAGAAACTCCGAAGATGGCAAAGGTAAATCGAGTCGAAAATTGGCGGGGGCCTTATTTTTTTTTTTGTCAAGTGTTCTAGACTTTAAATATCACTGGTGTTCAGATGTGGGCAGGGAATTTCAACATTCTTGTCAATTTTTTTTTGTATGTGTGTGTGGAGATTTACGTTTTTGCGGTGAAGGAATATAATTTCTTTCTGTGTTTTGTTGGGAGCGAAGTGAAGCTCACAACACTTGCCTAAATTTTGTTTCAGTGGTGAAGTGCACTGTCTATCTGGCAGACCTAAAGGAAGCGGCAGAAATGAACAAGATTTACTCCGAGTGTAAATTGAAAAAACAAACAAAAACGCTTTGATATCACAAAAAAGATCTAGGTACACCTAAGCATATATTCCGTATGAGTTGTGAATGCGAAAACATGCAAGCCGCTCGTCCGCTACCGTTTTCGTCTGCTGCGTACTTTTCGTCGACGGTCGGCGCGTGTGCTCCCCTGGTGATCTCGGACCCTCCGCTGTGATGAACACGCAGCGCCATGGGGTGAGCGGTCGTGGAAACTGACGAGCGCAGCCGCCAATGGGAGCCCCGTCGACGCGCGCCAGCCAATGGAACCGAAGGAAACTATATGTCGTTTTCGCGCTTCACACTGATGACGTCAGCTCGCTCCCTGAGTCAGTTAATGCTTTCGCATTAAAAGGTTGTATTTTTCGCCCATTATGTGCGAAGAAACGAAAGCGATAGCTACAGCACGGCCGTGCAATGCCAGTGGAATAGTGCTGTCACATGCCTAAGGACGGAGGTATGGTTTATTCTTATAGCCTTCGTGGATGTCGTCGTCGATGCCACAGACGACTGCCACCAGAGGTCCGTGAGGTAAGTGGGGGAGTGCCGTAGACATTTCTAGAACCATTTAATTTCACGCGTAGCAGCTGGATACTGCGAAATTAGGACTTCGCACAACGCGAGGAATGTTTGAAAACAAGTCTTTCAAGCATACTACATGATAATACTCCCTCCGTCGCGCAATTCTTGTCGGGGCGTCAGGGCTGCTGTTTTCGCTCTTTTTGTGCGGAAAGAGCGGACGGGAAGCGAGAAGTCCCGACTTTCATCTCCTAGCGGCAAAAGGAAGAAAAAAAAATGAAGCTTTTTTTTTTCATTTCTTTTTCGCGTGGCGAAAACAGCGCTGTGTTTGTCTCTTCCTTCATCAGGTCCATTGTCTTTCTGCGCTGTTTTTATCTCTTAAAGTATGTCATACCAACTCGCCCAAGCTTCAACTTTAGCAACAAGAAACAAGGTCGAAATCTATGAAAAGTGTCGTAACTAAAAAGTTAAGATTCTCTAAAAAATGTAATAACTAAAAAGTAAAAAAAAAGCCAGACAAAAAAAATAAGATAGCGTAACACTAGCCAGATCCATATAATCTCATGAAATTAGAGCTCGATCACCATAGATCGGCGTCATTCTGTAAAATTTGCAGTCCGTCAGCCTCGCGGCAACCAATAATGTCCTGTCTCCCAGCACAAATTGCAAATTGTGCTTCCAATGAGTATTCAAAGATTTTTTGGTTGGCCACCCAACTTTGCAATTCCGACAAAAACTAAAAAAAAAAAAAAAAAGAACTGATGCCAAAGTTGTCGCTCTCGCTACGAGTCGACAAAGTGCATTAGCACTTAGCTTGCCTTGATCGCCGCCTACGGTCCGGATACTGCAGCCTTTGAAGGGTCAATCTTTCCTTCCGGGTACCGGCGGTCTTGCGCAAACGGCTTGGTTGCTGTGCCTCGGTTTTACGTTGTCGCGTACGTTGTGTACGCGACAGCCCCTACGGCGCGGGAGCCATGAGGCCGCAGAATCCCTCCCTTTCTCGCTCCCGCGGCGAGTCATTAGAAGCCTGCGAGAAATCTCTTTCCTCCTTGTAAGAGGGAAAGCGGACGTGACGAACCAACAAACGGAGTGGAAGAGCACGGCGGGAACAGCAATGCGGCACCCCCAAACCAGTCCAGTCTATATAGGGCGCAAAACGCACATGAAGGCACCTTAGCCCAGTCCGGTCCAGTCCAGTCCAAACCACGACCGTCCGAACGAAAGACGGCAATAAATTCTAACGGGTTTAAAATAAAAAAAAAAAAAAAAATCTTGAATTCAAAGAAAAGCACACTTCGAAAACACGGAACCCTGTAGGTAAAACGTGGTCAGTTCATTTCAATGGTTTTTGGAGCGCTGGTCAAGCGGCTAAAGTTCCCTGTTATTCGTTATTACGGTCCTTCCCAAATACTCCAAGCGGTCTCCCCAAAATACTGGAGTTTTAAGGGGGTCTGAAAACGAGAGGGTGCTGCCTATGACGTCAAAACTGACCGCCTTTGGTTTCTGCACTTGAAGCTTATTCTTAGTTCTGTTTCTCCTCGTACAGTGCTTCCCAAACTTAAAGCATGATCCGTTTCGGTGTGTTTTCTGCCATACATGGGCCTTCCGCTTAAACTACTTGGTGAAGTTTTGGATCCCCGATCAGAATCCAGCTTGAGAAAGACACTCCAGCTGCTGCAGTGACAGAATTAGCCTTGAGTAGCTCGGAATAAATCAATATTTGGGCAACAGAGTAAAAGAGTTGTAAACGGCTTTCATATCTTTTTTTACTGAAACATTGTTTTGCATTGGCACTAGGACTAAAGAAATACGGGTATTAACTGTGAATAAATATTTCGTATGCAGTAAACTTGAGTCCGGAATTAAAAAAAAACAAAAAAAAACGGGATTGCCGCGAATTTTATTACCTCTGTTTAGGAGTTATTTCTGGGATGAAACTCGGTTTCATCTAAAAGCGTTCAATTCTCTCTCTCTCTCTCTCTCTCTCTATATATATATATATATATATATATATATATATATATATATATATACAAGAGACATTGCAAGGTCGCATCTTTGACTTATTAACTTTTTCCGGTTCATTGTTTTTTATATTTACCTTACTTCACCTATATGTATGTATATATATATATATATATATATATATATACAGGGCGTCTCTGTTTAAGCTTAACATATTCGTTTAAAAAAAGCCGTGAAAGTTACACTTATGCCGCTTGTGGAGGTGAGTTATACGGCCGGGGGGACATATTATAGGGGGCTAATCGTAACGATCAATCGACTAGTTAATTAAAATTTGTTAATGAACTTTTTAATTAATAAAAATAGACATATGTTTCCAATTAGGAACTTGCTCAGCGTCATCGAAAACCACTAAGTCAGTCATTTTCAGAAAGTCTTTGAGCGCGTGAGAAGCGTAGTAGTGCACTAAAGTTTCCACTCGTGGAGCAGGTACAAAGCTAGCGGTTGCGATAAGGCGCCTGCGCGATTTTTCCGTCTCTTATCTAGCCTCAGCCTTGTACCTGCTCCACGAGTGGTAACTTTAGTACAATACTACGCTTCTCACGCGCCGAAAGTCTTTCTGAAAATGACTGATTTAGTGGTTTTTGATGACGCTCAGCAAGTTCCTAATTGGAACCATATGTCTATGTTCGTTAATTAAAAAATTAATTAACGAATTTTAGTTAATCAGATGACTGATCGTTACGATTAGCCCCCTATAATATGTCCCTTACAATTGAAAACGAGAGTGCTGGTACAAAACTTGAAAGTATAAAACAGAGAGGACGAGGACTGGAACAGGGCTGGAATAGGACATCTATGTCCCCTGGCCGTATAACTCACTTCCATAAGCGGCATAAGTGTAACTTTCACGGCTTTCTTTAAACAAATCTGTTAAGCTTAGAAAAAAAAAAAAAAAAACCTTTATATATATATATATATATATATATATATATATATATATACTGTAAACGACTTATTTTTCGCGGGCTTAATATTTCGGGATTTAGGTTAAAGCTTAAGTTTTAGAATATTTCGCGGGTTTTAATTTTCGCGAAGTGGTAGGATCTCAATATAAAATCTAATGTGTTTACATTTTACTGGAATTGTTCGCGGGACCTGTTTTTCGCGAATTGTAGGCGATTCGCGACATTCGCAAAAATTAAGTTGTTTACAGTATATATATTTGCTTTCGGCGTCGTTTATTTTACGAGTAACTTAATTTAGGTTTTATGCCTTTTTTGTTTCTGTTCGTAGTTTTCCCAGAAGAGCCCCCTGCACGAGTGGCGTTCCAGGTGGCGAGACTTCAGCTGGTAAATTGTGACAATAGCGTGTGATGTAAAACACAGTTTCGAGAGGCCTTGCATGCACAGCCTTGCCAATAACTCTGAGCACCAATTACTGATTGTCCTTTAATAATGTTCGCCGGTAATGAGAACACACAGTAAGAACTATTAGAGATGGTTGTTGAAGAGGGTAGGGGAGGAAAGCCTCAGGATTGTCAGTGAGTGTAGTGATGTGGATTGAGGGATGAGCGTTGTTAAGGATGGCCATTGAGGTTAACTTGTAGAAGAAGAAAATAGATGGTGCTATGGAGAATTTGGCCGTAAAGATGGTCAGTAATGATGGTAAATGAAAATGGTATGTGAGGATGGCCAGTTAGTGGGCCATTGAAGATAACAATTGAGGATGACCATTAGGGCTGGCCGGTGGAGTTAACCCGTGAGAATGGTAGCTTAATACTAATGAGAAAACAGTTGAACATAATTCACGAGGATGAACATTTATGAGATTAATTGAGGGTTCCGAATGAGGATGGCTAGTGTGCTGTCGAGGAGGGCAGGTGATGGGCCCGAGTAATGTGGTTAATTGGGGATGACTAGTGACAAGAACAATTTATGGTGGTCTTTGATTGTGTCAAGGGGTGATGCTGAGTGACGAGGTCTTTTGGGGCCCCTGGGATTATCAGTAAAAAATCCAATGGGAAGTTCCTCTAAGGAATGCCATTGAGAAAGGCCAATGAGGAGCGCGATTTAGGGGAGTGATATGGGGGAGCCAACGGAACAGCATGGCCGTTGGTTGGGTACGATGCCGCTGTTTCTCCTCACTTTCTAAAAATATTAAAAGAGGGTCGGTTATTGGCCTTCGAGCTCGCGGTAGGAAAGCATGAAAGCTTACATTTGTGAGAAGTGTGATTCGTTTCTGCAATAGGTCGATTATGCAATACGTATTTTGTTCATCTCCAAAATGAGGCAAACAAGAAACACGCATTCGCATCTCATTTTTATTTATTTATTTACTTATTTGCGCGCTTATCGACTCCAATATTTTGTATACAGCTTTGCAGCCAAATGAACAACTCTAGCGCATAGAGCTAGTGATAACTCAAAAGATGCAGGGCGTGCGGAATCCTGGTCATCTAATGATTGCTCTGCAGCCACTTAGCGCTATTAGTCAACGAAAAACGCAGAAATATGAATCGCATAGCAAGGAGCGTGAAATTAACAAGCCACGCCCTTTGTTCCTTAAGTTGTCACTGGCTAGAGGGCCTTAAAATAAATTATCATTATTTTTGCTTGCTTCTATTTCAATTATTTGGTTACGAGTCATACCGGACGAGCTAAGTTACACATTTATTTCTGTCACATGAAGGATCGCATATCTAGACAGTGACATTTCGGTGTGATGATCACACGTTTAAGTATAGAGTCTTAGATTTCTTAAACAAATGAAAATGAAGAAGCCGCTAGAGTTAGGAAGAAGTATACATGTCTCAAGAAAACTGGCCGGACACTGCTGTTATATTTAATGAGGTGAAGGATTCGTGTCTTCTGTTTTGTTTGTTTTTTAATCTAGTCGAAACTCATTCTATGTAGAATTAAAACAGGTGCTATCATTAAGAATTATAACTTTTTTTTTTTGTGCCGCACTGCATAGTTGAAAAATGGGAAGTAAATTAAAGGGAAGCTGAAGCATTTTTTAAGAAATCTATGTTCAGCTGTCGCACTTACCTTGGGCAGTGCGGCACAAAAAAAAAGTTATAATTCTTAATGATAGCACCTATTTTTATTCTTTTAAATGTAAACCGCATATTTTTAAATGTAAACCGCATTCATTTTGAAAAATACAGGCAGCGACTGCCGTTGGGCATCTGGAGGTCGTCTCTGCCGTATTTTACCTACCCGGAGTGTCGAGACCTCATTGACGGCATCCCCGAGTCAGCTTAGTGGCAAGCAAGGGTCACCTGACCTCGCTGATGACGTCACTTCTGCTAGTTTTTCTCTACGCTCTCGCGCTTTTGTACCGTTGGCGCGCGGCAACGGGCGAGTCTATGTCCAAATTTTAATTGACTATTGCGACGCTCCTACTAACAAGATCGAAATAAAACTTAAGACAGCTTACGTCAGATTACAACTTCTACTGTTTGTTCATATTCCAAGGACCTCTTCAGCTTCCCTTTAAGGGACATCGCTATGTCTTCTGTCGCAATGATATTAAAATCTACCAGCTTTCGTTCATTGTGAAATTTGTTTTCCCACTTGTGATTGCAACTAATATGCTAGCTTGTTTTCTATAATCAAATAAAGGTAGACATGTTCCCAACTTTAAATTTGTTGTACCTTACAGGACGCCCGTGTAGAAATTGAAGCCATCGCAGTGGATTGCAGTGACTGAATCTCCATCCTCAGCATGGTTCGCATTGCAATTTGTGCAAGTGGGAGAAGCGGTGTGCCTCCATATGTGCCGTTGATTATTTTCACATTTTGGGCATGCTACAAGTCAGAGACAAGTGAAAAATAAACCAGTATTCCTATACTTACATGGCGTGCTTTTATAGACTGTTTCTTAAAGCTCACGCCGGACATTTCTGTTCCGGGACGCTAATTGTATACTCAGCTTGCTCCAGTTTGGTCTAAATGCTTCTCCGCTAACGCCGACGCTGCAGTCATTCGGTACGTACCGCAATCTCGTGCCAACCGGGGATTCTATTCAAAAGTGCAAGTGTTAACATTTTCTGCTGAAGGTGACTTCTCAAAGGAGGAAATATAACAATAGCACGGTTCCACGAGACACCCTTTCCCTTCCAATAAGCCGCGTTCCACCATGTTCATGAACAGCGCCGCTTTCGTCATTCGTTGACACACCGACGCTTAGTTGTTGGAGTTGCTTTTGTTCTTGATGAATTACTGAACCTCGGAGAGGAACTCCGTGGAGGAGAGAACTCGGTAAGTACGATCGGGCACGTGTTTGGGTTGCATGAAATAAAGTTTATTCCGATTAATTTCCTCGCTGGACGCCTTCTTCATCAACACGGCATCTGGCGAGAGCTTGCGCCGCAAGTACGTCACAAGAAAACGCTGTTTACCACAAAAAGGACGTCTTTCGTAGAATCCAAGAATTCAGCGGTGCAAAATAATTTATCTAGATCCGCCGCTAGTAGTGGAAAAAACAAGAAGGGAGCAATATAGTTGCTGTCTTTTCTGAATGAACATTGTTTTCAACTGTTCATGGGGAAGGCGAAGTGCATGCTATTTTTCAAGCATATTTTAGAGTTGGATAAAATATACAACCGTTTCCTGTTGTACAAACTCAGTTGTTTCAGTTAGCCATTCTGAAAACGTCTATGGATTCATTGTGGCTGGGTAATTTATCAATTAATCTTTTGATTAATCAATTAATGCTGTAATCGTGATTAATTTTTTTGACCGGTTAATCGCAAGGGTTCTGAGCTAGACATTTTTAGGCAGAAGTAAAAATGCCTACATCACTTCTCGGCGCCCATTTAGTCATTTTAAAAGTAAACACTGTTGTATTTCAAGGTAAATAACTTTAGCTTTACCTATGATTGTCATCCAGAGTGATTATATGATCTAAATATTAATGCCAAACTATTAATATTTAAAATTGCTTGCCTGTGTTTTTCTTTTGTGGTTGGTGTCACCGTCATGATTCAAATAAGGTGACGGGTACACTTCGTCATTGATGACAAATCAAGAAATAATGAAAACATTGTGCGTAGTTGAAACCTGCTTTACAATATACCTTAATTGAAAGCAACTAAGTAGCATAATAATTAATTGATAAAATTGTAGCCATTAGTGATATTAAAACGTTTAATCGCTGCCCAGCCCTAGAATTGATTGGTAACGACCTTGTTGAGAAAATGTGAAGTACTGTTACGGGTGGTTGAAAACTGACTTCATTGATGTGACTCGCTCCTACACAAAGATACAAGTTTAAATTTTTTTCTTAATTCTAGGCTTTAAAACATTATAAAAAATTGAACCGAATTTCTTTCCCCTGTTTGCGTTCTGTTTCTTGTTTGTATTTTTCTTTCTTCGTATTGAGTTCATAGAACATATTTGAAAAATTTGAGGCTATTGCGTGAAATTAAATTATTTTAAGCGCAAAATGTATATTTTGCGCTTAAAGCATCACATGCGAAGGTTTATAAATTTCTTAGCCGAGAAGCAAATCCATCAGTCAGTGTTTTGTTATATGGTAGCGTTTGATTATTACGTCAGATACCATTTATAATTTTACAATAAAGAGGCTAGCTACATTACGTGAAATTGTCTGTTTTTTGTTTTCGTTATCTCGATTGATGGAAGCTTTGGGTGCTTTAGCCCTATGTAGGTGCACCAAACGTAGAAAAAATAGGTTGCGTTATAATCCAGAATTTTCCCGCGATTTTGTAGTTTTTTTAATAATTCTACATGTGCGGCTACAAAAAAAAAGTATATCAGGTCTTTTGTTTTTAAATTTTGTACCGCGCGGCGTTGCAGGTGCTTGGCATCGTTGTACAGAAAAACAAAATTAGACGAGTGGCGCCACTTGTATTTTTTTGTTTTACTGACTTGTTGAGGACAATGCCACCGTCGCTCCAGAAAGACTGTCGCTGCGGCGTTAGAGGCAAGCGTGAATTTCAGAGAGCCTAGATTCAGGAGAGGCAGCAACTGAAAGCATAGAGGGCGTTTGCAATTTAATGGCGGGCACCTCCTGGACATACATGTTTGATGATGTGCAGATTTCTGCGGTATATAGTACAAGTAATTCGATTCCTTGTAATCCCTTGCTTTTCGGAGTACTTTTGTTATAATTTGGTTTACGTTTATTAGACAGTAATCACGAGAGTGATCTGACTATTTTTGGAAGTCCTAAAATTACTTGTAGACGCTACTAATTGTCTCATCCCCTTTCTAATGGTATTCTTTGTTTCCAGAAGTTTCCTACCAAGAATTCTCCGGATAAAGTCCCCGACACGGGGATGAGCCACCAAAATCGTTAGATTGAGACGATAAGTAGTGTGTTGATTACGCCTGATTCACAGAGTGCGATTTTGCTTGCGATTTCGCAGCTGCGACGTTGAGAACCGAAGCTTTTACCACCCTTTTTGTGCCGTATGAACCGCGTCGCAACTGCGAAATCGCAAGTAAAATCGCGCACTGTGAATCGGCCTTGATTGCGGCGATTAAATTCAATTACTAAAGGTACGAAAAGCCAATTCTCAAACCGGCCGGAAAACGTCTTGGTTCTGAAAATCTAAAGTATTTCGGAACACGGTAAAGCCCGATTCACCGGTGCGATTTTACTTTCGATTTCGAAAGTGCGGCGGTGAACATCTCGCAGCTTCAACCACGCTTTTCCTTCGCCGTGCGAGCGCCGTCCCCAACTGCAAAATCGCAACTAAAATCGCACCATGCGAATAAGGCTTAACGGTTACGTTTTCAACTAACGCTCAAATTGTTTTTCCTGTCAAGAAGTACTCGAGTAATCAGATCGAATACTCTTTAACGAAGACCAATCGCAATTTTAATCGATGTCGTTTTCAAGTAACCCGTACGAGACATGCTAATACACACGCGAGCGTTGACGCCTGGCTAGGAGTATATAGCGGGAAGAGAGGCTGAGCTAAACTTGGAGGCGCTGGCAGACTATCGACACTTTCGCATCCTCCTCGAACCTTGTGTTACAGACGCTGCCCACAAACCACGTGAACCCGATCTAGCGGTCGGAAGCACTCACAAATCTGGGCACACTGGCCACCCCACTACACATGCTTAAAAGTCAAGTTAAAATTTTTACACGGCGTGGACTGTCTAGAGGTGCAGACTATGCGTGTTTTTTTTGTTTTGCGTGCTTACAGGCACCTATCGAAAAACATTTTTTTTTTCACCCGAAATTTTCCCCCCGCGGTTTAAAATCCGAGAAATACGATAAAGCTTAGCTACCGATGGAGCTCGTTCCTGTACGCATGTGCCTTCCTAGAGCGGAAAGCCAACACCTGGCTAACTTCGACAAGACCAACGTTTCACAGCGCGCACTTGTCTGCATTTTCCCGCTGCTATAGCTCGCGTAAAATAATAGCTGCGACATCTACGGCCCCTCTTTGATTGCAGTTAATCTGATCCTCAATTCTACTTTTACAACACCTTTATCTTATTTTGACCCGTCTCTTCTCATTTAGAATTTCTGAGAGTTATTATCTAGTTCACAAAGACTGGCTCGATAGATATCTTCGAGCCAAATATATCTGGCACTTTGCTATCACGTCTATAACCTTTTCTTTTTTCTTCGCATAAGCGTCGGTTTAGTGAGGAAAATGTCGAAGATGACTCGTGAAGTGATCCCCGCCAAGTCGACCAACCCGATCAGGTAAGAATCAATGTTTCTAGTCACATAAAACTTAAGAAACGATAAAGGGCTACCTTACTATCGTTCATCTTATTATCGCTCGAGTGCCTGTGAGATTATGTCATTGGCCGATCAGAACGGCGACGAACGAATCGCAAAGAAAGGATCAAAGGTCACCATAATAAACCTCGCCCCACGTTTCTTAAACTGTCGGCGACTCGAGAAGAATCCATAACGTTTTGTATTCTCAGCAGTGGCTCGATGAAATCCTGAAACTGATTCATACACCACTTTAAAAAAAAAAATAGTATTTGCTCAAATGGTTTTGCAGTAAATTTCTTTAGCTTTGATTCTAGCGAAAGTACGGAGAAATCTACGAGATTGTTTTTAAGTGGAGAATGTTTTCTTTTTGTCCACAGTGCTGCCATTCGAGTTGGAGACACCATGTACATCTCGGGCCAGCTGGCAGTTAATCCGGAGACTCGCTCTCTGGTTTCCGGTGGAATAGTTCCCGAGACACGAGCGGCAAGCCCTTCAGAATTCTATATATATTATATTGTCACTTTCAGCTTAACAAACGCACAGCTTGGTAAACCCTGCATATTACCCGATAATAACACGAAAAAAAAAAAATCATGATGGAATAATATAAATTAAAAGAATTTTTGTTTAAAGCTTGAATGGGGCACACAATTTTTAACCATTTTTTTCACAAACAAATTTTAGCAATATTTATGTTATTAGACCCAATAAAACCGGGGGGGGGGGGGGGGGGGGCTGTGCTTTATACTCCGCCCATAACGAAATGAGGTTAGCTAGCTTAGTTCTATTTCTCGCCTCTCGTTGGTTGGAGAGTTGATTGGCGTGTGAAATGTTCCTTCTAAAATTGTTTCTTCGTACCGTAATAGTTTTTTTATCGACTTTCTTTTAATGTTTGAGAGACACAACTTAGATAGAGTCTTTACTATTTCAAATATATCCAGAGATTTCCCTTCTGCTTTGGTTTCCAACGATAACAAACATGGCTGCCGGGCTTGCGCCATGTTCAGCGAGCGTAGTATTGAGCTTGTTTACATTTATGAGTGCGAGTCATTTTGCGTTCACCGAGGTGTTTAGAGGAAGATATTCTCAACCGACCTATAGTTTCCAGCAAACAACTGTCACAAGTCTTCGGAAGCGCTGCGCGGGTGCGTGTTTTCGTAGCTGGACTGGCCTGAGCCTAGCGTCCATCGTCCACAATAAGGTGTCTGAAATGCCGAGGTGCGATTAAAAATACGCAGTAAAAATCGGCACCTGCACACAGCAATTTAAACCTTTCATCAAAGATGTGTTTCCTAGGTGGGCTTTACCTTGCAAAATTACAAGGCGCAGCTCCCTTTCTGTAATACATGGGGCCAAAAAACTTGTCAGGGTCAACGGTGGAGAGTGACGCAGACGACCGAATAGAGTGGCGGGGAGTGTTTGGAGCCTCGGGAGCAGCCTCGGTAGGTGTAGCCGACCAGCGAAAGAAAGCAGACGAAATGCAGACGAAATCTGTCGGCAGCAGGAGCGCAGTCGTCATGTAACCGCGTTTTCTATTATTTTTGTTGCTTCAAGTTTTGCTCTTATTCTTCAGGTTTAGTTTGCAACCAAAAGTACATTCCAAAAAGATTATGTAAATTTTAATAGACCACGGTCGTCGCGGCCTGGTCGCGGCCAGTCTCGATATTTTTTAAAAGCAATCCGGAACAAGTAGGTAGCGCCATCTATCAATAGGTGCGCCAAACGCGCCTCGCCAATCGACTCGGTCGTCTGTGTCGCCGTTCGCCGTTGACCCTGTCAAGTTTTTTGGCGCTATTTTACAAAAAGAGAGGTGGGACCTGTAATTTTACGAAAAAAAAAAAAAAAGTTCCTGTGAAACACACAATTGGCGAAAAGGTTTTAAGGCTATTTTGCTCGATCATGGCTTGATATGTTCGTTTGCGCGTGTTGATGCTGAATAAAAATGTGGGCTCCCGTGAAAGCTGCCCGGCTGCTTTGTTAATTGAGCAAGCTTCGATTCCGACCATGGTTTTAATACCGGAAAGATACCTACACAGAAAAGAGTTCGCAAGCCATTTGGCTGGAGGCTATCGGGCGTTCGTCCCTAATGAAATTTTAACATGTATGTTTTTGACAATTCGCTTCAAAAACTTAAGTAACTCTCATGTCTTGCAGCGCGCCTGGCTTGCCAGAATGAATATTTTTGGTCACGTTTTAGTCGTGCATTATGACACTCACTCGTCTTGCTCGCGGATACCACGCGAAAAACAAAAAACCTAAGAACAGAAAATCTGAAACAACTGCATATTTATTTTGTTGATTTTTTTTCCTCTCTGTCGCTTCTTACCCCCCATCAACGGAAGCTGACAGACACTTGTATTGAAGAGTGGCTCGCGCATGATGGAACGCTAGAACGCCGCTTTCGTAGTCGCGAAGTTACGAGTGTTGCGGACGTTTTTTAAGATAGACGCGGAATAGCAGACGCACGCTGGCGACAACGTAAGCCGACGCGCCGCTTTCGTGGACACGTCTTCGGGCGTTGGAGACGACGATAGGCCTGTTTCTCTCGGCCAGGGGGCGCCGTAGCGTTCACGAGATGCGACCACGAAAGAGTCACCTCCACTAGCGTCCGCGAGACGCGACCATTTAATGCCGACTTGAAGCGGCCTCGTAGCGTCCCATCATGTACAGTGCCCCTCAAACTTAACGCCGCCACTCGGTTTCGCAAATATTGATCCATTCAATTTTATTGCATGCTACCCAAACATGAATTGATCGCTGCAGCTGCTGGAATACCTTCCCCTGGTTAAGTTTTCACCGGGGACGCAAATCTTCACCAGCCATTTTGACTGCTATGTTCAGGAATAGCTCAAAAAAGTGAAGAAACCGAACCATCTCGTGGCGGCGTTAAGCTTGAGGCGCACTGTACCTTCCACTGGCATAAATTAGCGTCTGTCAGCTTCCCTCGGCGTCTGCTCATTGTTCACGCGCACTAAGAGGGCGTGTGAAAGGACAAAACGCCAAGCACAGTGGAAACGCGACCTAAAACTATCCGATGTTTCTCGCTAGGGGCGCTGTTCAAAACTTGAGAGATACAGGTCTATAGGCGGTGGTAAAATATCAGACGATGCCGGAGACTGCCAAGCGTCTGCTCGCACCACGAGCAGACGGTGTCAGGTGCCAGACTAGACGCACCAGACCGGAGCAGCCAAGCAAATCAAGTAGTAATGGGTGGGGCTGTAAGCGGGTCGTGACCTCCATCTAAGCTGTGTCTAACGGTGTAAATATAGCGTATATTACGTTTGCTCTTACCGAGGAATGGTATGTGCCAAAATGCAGACTTTATGTCAGGGGCTACGTCGGTCATAATATAGTTGCCATAATGACTAAATAACAAAAAAATTAAATATATATATATATATATATATATATATATATATTTAATTTTTTTTTTGTTATTCTCCCTGACAGACCCCTGACATAAAGAACAGATATATATATTTGTTCTTTAGGTAGGATGGAATCTGTTGTGCATATTACAAAAAAGTGAGGATGTCGTATTTAAAAATGATCTAACTTCTCTGATGTTTTTCCGGCACACCCTAACACGGCAGTCTATAAAATTTAATCTCGGAGGAATGTGTTGAGTGTTACTTTTATTTTATGTACACAACTTAAAAAAAAAAAAAAAGGCTTGCCGAGAATATTGCAGCTTTAAAGCCGAGTCTTAAAGGTAAAGAAAAAAAAGTTCGACTTCTCGATGTGCAGTGGCGTATGGCGACCACGAGAAAACCAGGCAGTGACGTCCTCGAGATGTACGTCGTAGTGAATTAGCAAGTTATGCAATTATCTGCTCACTTTAAAGCCAATTGACCTATACATTTTCGCCTCCAATCGCAAATAGATATACGTCAACGTAATATTATTGTGGCTAAGGTTTTATGAGACGACGCATTGGTGATGCCATCTACCAGGACTCAACGAAACCAAGCCCTATCTGCTGCTTCCATGACGTAACGGAGGGAAAGGCGTTGACTCCTGTGTTTCTGTACTCTTCCCAGATAGGCCATGCTCCGGGTACAGCGGCGATCCCGACTGGTTGTGCTGTTCAGTCGCGACCGTTAAAGGAGCGACGCAACAATTTTTGTACTTTCTGTAATCATGAAATAAATCATGAATGAAGAACGAGCCGTCACGTGATCTGTGGCTGATTATACGTGGCCAATGTTTATCATCGGTTGGCAAAGCACAAGGCACTGGCTGAGTTCCAACATTTCTTTAGGAGACACTGACAGGGTAATTGTGCTCGCCGAGGTTTCTATTAGCACATGCCATACGAGACCCCAGCTACTCAAAACACGATTTGCTGCTCAAAATTCGTTTTTTTTTTTGTTTCCTCCCAAAAATCGCCGGTCAAAGACTGACTGGTTTGAGCCGCTCTCACTATCACGGTCACGTGCCACGGTCACCTCGGTCACGTGCCGTTCAGTAACCCATAACAAATATAATCGAAGTCGTGGTCACCTAAGGCACATATTAGATATGAAAAATAGTAAAAAAATAATTAAACGGATTTTTTGTTGCTTCAAGAAGCTGCAGATACGTTGGTTGAAAACAAATTTTCCACACATCACGGGAAGTACATGTACTACGTCCTTCTGAATATGGCGACGTACCCGGGGCTGAACGACACAATGGCGAGGCATGACGGACCAACATTGCGACGCACGTGGGAACGCTACTTCGCAACTATCGTTCGCGGTATCGGCGAATCGGTCTTCAAGCACAGAACAGCGATCGCAACGGATAGAAGTCTTCAACCAATACGCGACAATTGGTGCACGCGGCGCCGTCGTGTGCCTCGCACGACCGGGGAAGCGGAGAAAAATCAAACGAAGTCGGGTGTAGCCACGTGACTTCCGGCAACTCTCTCCTCCTTTACGTTTCTTCCTCCTCCTCGATCCACATCGTCTACATGTCGCGGCCATGAGTTTGGTGCTCATGATTCAGTTTCGGTTTCGAGTAGTTCCGTTTTTAGCTCTAATAAAATATACGTGACTCTGTAGCAAAACATTTATTGGGCATTCTACTGACACCACAATAAATCGCCTGGCAAAACAAAGATATATATAGGGGGGGGGGGGGGGAATTAGCGTTTTTTAAGGTTCGGCTAATCCCCTCATTCCAGTGATTTGGCACAAGCCACTAGGCAAATGCATGTCGATCCATTAACTGTCATGTGCCCAAATTGAGTGATCACGCAGTGCTCATGACCAACAGATCCCCACACCTTCGCTGTCAAGTTTTGCGAAGGAGAGACTGAAGGAGAAATCTCCTTTCCTTCTTAAAATGAAGCGGCAACGAAGAAGCTTTTTTGTCTGTGTCGATCCCTGCTGGCGAGCGCTTGGGTCCCAGTAATGCTAGTAAGCTTGTGCAAAGTGAGAAGCGTTCCAAACCAATATCGTTGAAGAGCTCCTTGAAAGCTCTGAAAGTGTTCTGATTTAAGGCAGAAACTTCCGAAGAACAAAGGAGGTTCGATAACACTGGCGGAGTGAGTTCTCGCTACACCATACAGTGTTCGCTGAGGGCGCTAAGGAAAGAACACAACCGGAAGTCCGACGTGCCCCCAGAGCAAGTCACTGCACGCGTTACGTGGATGGGGTTGTAAAAGTTTAGATGCATGAAAATACAAAACTATTTCGCTCCTTTAAACAAACCCCAAAAAAATGTTTTTTTCTTTTTTTGAGACAGTTTAGTTGGGACATGCGTGTAAAAAAATAATTTTAGGCGAAAAAAGAAATATTGATGGGTCGAGACTCAATTTAGCCGGTTAGTCCCCTCCTTTCTACTTGTTTTGTCTCCCGCTATTTCGGGCGCGTGGAGGAGAGGTGGATCGGCTCCGCCTTCACGCTGAGGTCGAAAGAGCGAATGACCATTCCGTGGCGTCATGGACTTTGCGCAGAATCTCAAATGAATCTCTCGCCGTCAATATTACTCTAAAAATCTTTTTCTCGGCAAAACTAATTTCTCGACAAGCGTGTCCCAACCGGACTGTTAAAAAAAAAAAAAAAACAAGGAAAAAAAAAATTCTGCTTTCTTTGCAAGAGATTTTTAAAGCAAAAACTGCGCACTCCATAGAGATCTTTTCTCTGTCCTTTATTGTAGAAGCTTTGTCTGCGTTTAAATGGATGTGACCGTCGCACATTGAATTGAGGGAGAACCAATCACACGCGCCCAGTTCTTTGCCTCTTCCTCTTCTATCCAATCACAGTCGTCGTATGTCGATTGACCTACGCCCACAGGTACTAAACCGAACTCCATAAATCGTTACACTGCTCTTTATATCAAAATTATTTTGTCCGATACATATTTGCATCTATTAAGGCGAACTCGGCATTTGTATCGAGATCCATGACTGACGTTACATTAAAACTTCTAATAATTTATAGATGAAGTAGTATTTGCACCAACAACTCGAAATGACTGTTTGTTACGTTCCACTTCACGGAAGGTTTCTAGCTTGTCTGTTTGCTTTTTAGGTCCTCAAAATGCTGGGAAATGTGCTGGAAAAAGGGAGAATGAGTTACAAAAACGGTAAGGAATCATCACTTTTAAACTCCGCCACATTTCAATCTGCTTTCTTTTTAAAAAGGTGAAGCTTAACATTGTGGGTGAGAACGTGCATAGTCAAAGTATGGGTGGGTATTAGTGGAGGTCCAATAGAATTTTGGAAGTCCTATTAAAAGGCAAATCAATGTTGTTTTTTTTACAAATAATTTTGTTGCTGCAAGATATACGCAAGGTGGGATCCCAAAGGTTTAAGAGCGCATCGAATAATCAGCAAATTAATCACCAATTAGTCAAAGGCGTTATTTTTATCAAGTGTTTTAAACCATAAATATAACTAGCGATGGGGTATAATCATGTAGTTCTAATATTTGTGCACGTTCGCTTGCTTCTGGGAAGGGGGTTTAGTCTGTGTCTCGTTCTTTTGTTGCAAAACTATCAACACTAGCGTCATTTTGTTTCAGTGGTGAAGTGCACCGTCTACCTGGCAGACTTAAAGGAAGCTGGAGAAATGAACAAAGTTTACTCCGAGTGTAAGTAAAAAAAAAAAAAAAAAACCTTCTAAGTGACTGAAAAAAAAAAAAAAGAGCGTTAGAAAACAGAAGACACAGGTACACGCAGCAAAACGGTATAATATAGAAAAAAAATTGGCGTACCCTAGATTACATTGGGAGCTTTAAAGAAGCGTAGAAACGGAACTCGAAATGCATTGGTAGCAGAGTACCCAAATCACGGTGTGGAGTTTGCCGTCCATATACCAATACGGTAATCAGGAATATTTCCTTTCACACTGCAGTTAGGTTTTCAATACGGACGACTCTCTTTGAAGAGAATTGGTTTGAGAACCATGGTTTACATGTATGACAAAGTAATTTCAGAAATAGACGCCAAAGCCAAATCTGGAACCCTTTTGTTAAAAGAGGGACTGCTGCATTTTCACGCGCGTTTTTTGGAAAATGAACGCTATTTTTTATATTTAATTCTTCCATCGGTCGAGGAAACACTGAACCGTTTATACTGAGAGAGTTTGACTGAGAGGTGGAACTTGTGGCCCGGTACAAGAAGCCGACTTGGTCATAACACGAAATGGAATGTCTCCTTACCGAGAAACGATCATGAATTGTCAGGCGTCAACAACACACGAGGGCGGAAAGGACACACCATTTCCGGTTACTGTCGGCGTCCTTGTGAAACTGCTTAGCTCTCCTAGCATAACCAGCTCAGACGAAGCAAACACAAAGCATGACACGCGTCGGACATGATCGGGTGTGACAGACCTTTGTCGTGTTCGTCACACACGTGGGAGGTGATCACGTTCCACACATGATTACTCTTTCTCCCATGTGCGAAGAAACGTGTTTTCGCAGGCTTGTTGTCCGTGTAGTTTATTGTTTAACTTTTAAGCTTTCTCGCGTATTTGTTTCGTAAGTGAATTAACGCTTCTCTCATGTTTCATTTGTTTCTGTTTGTAGTTTTCCCCGAAGAACCCCCTGCACGAATCGCGATCCAGGTGGCGAAACTTCCGCTGGTAAACTGTGATAATCACATCTAATCTCAATTTCCGTTTCTGCAGTTTTTGACTGTTTACTTTTCTCCGATTGACGCCGAGCGAAAGTGTCTAATAGTATTTTAATTCCTTGAACCAGCAAAGAAGGCCAGTAACGAGAACCACTGAGGATAGCCGTTGAAGAGGGTAGTGAGTAGGATAAATATTGAGGACCAGTTTTTAATTTCAAATTTGTGTCGATTGTCGTGTGCCAAGCCCAAAAGAAAGTTAGAAAAATAAGAAAAAAAAAAGGAACATCTTTACATGGCTGAGTCGTCCACCCCGATGCACTCCAGAGCGAGTATGTAAAACTATCTAAAGAAATACAAAAACATACCGAAGCATATCAAAGCATGGTCGACAAAAAAGTAAATGTACCTGCTCTGCATATCGAACAAAACGTAGGTCACAAATTATTAATTTCGTAGTTATTAGAAGAAAAAAATAATATAAAGACGATTTTCAAAGGAGAATATCAAATTCCCATAGAATATAACATATAAAATATTTAAAAAAAAATGGTGGCACAAGAAATATTGGATTTATCATTGCGGCAAAAATACTTTTAAGGTATAAATGTCAGTGGCATAGAACACCGAATTAGACGCTTATTGAAGATATTCATCGGGGAAGTAAGAGTATTGAATACAGTGGAGAAAGGCTGACTCAGTGAGAAGAGGCGAGGACGGCGACTAGTGAAGAAAGGGGGAGGATTATGATAATTGGTTCGCTGTTCCTCCACCTCCTCACTTGTTGCATTTTCTAAAGGTAAGCTGGCGATCTGCGATCCAGGTGCATCGTAGGGCGGTATGGGCGGAGGCATATATCTGACAGTGTAGACGTAATTCTGTGTGTAATTAGATTCGATAGCGCGATGTAGCACGTATTTTGCACACGTACAAACAAAGGGAGGTGGGTGACAAACACGAAGATCAGTTGTGCGCTTGTCGTATATTCTTCATTTCGCACAAGTAGTATGGGGCTCATAATTTCGTTTCGTAAAGCGCTGGGAAAATTTATGGTTACGTTTTGTATTACGTTCATTCTATATTGCACGTGTCTCACTGACTATCGGTACCTTTTTTACCCCTTTTACATTGGGAGTTATTTTCATTTCCCAAAAGGCCCTTTAAAAAAAAAAAAGTTTTCCGGCAATGCCTTTAAAGACTTCAACTTTTTAACAATAGATTTGAGTTTAGTTCGAATATGAGGTATATCCAACGCATCTGAAATATGGACAACAAGTTATCATTTTAACTACAAACTCCGGTGTCAATATTCTATTTTACTTGGGGGCCCGACATTCGTCAAACAAAAAGTTGGAACCGAAAGTTCGAGGAGCGCGCCTATTGGACGCCATGGCGACAAAAGTGCGAAGTCACCACCGCGATAGTCTAATCGGTGCGTTCCGTGAACTTCGGTCCCAACTTTGTGTTTGACGAGTTAAAAGCCCGGGATTAGACAACGGCTCAAACTGCGGTCCTATGAAGTCAATCGAGAAGAACCGAATAGGCACCGTCACGGCACTCGTCGTCTTTTGTGTGTTCACCATCACCGACCAAACCACTCAAGCGCATCAAATGCGCCGTGATCCTGCGCTTTTTTGTTTATTTGCGATTGGTTCTTTGGGGTTTTTGTCGTTTAATGCCGCAATATCTCATTGGCTGCTGGGCGATAATGTGATAATAAGCTGGAACCGCGGCACGCCCGACGCGTCTCGGTTGCTCTCGGTGACTATACGGCGCGCAAGTTCCTCAACCCCCTTGCGCACATCACGTGTTTGTCTCTACCCGCCAAATGCTCCCACGTGCTTTCGTTTACTCCCCGACCTCAACCAACGAGTACACAAGCTCGGCTGCCTCTCGTCATTGCACGTTTCCCGCGTGTGCGCTGTTCTGTCTTTTGATATTTGGCGCGTGCCCCTCCATGCGTTCCCGCTTGAGTCAAAGACCGAATTTGGCCACGCACGTGCTCGCCGTATAGCACGACAACTGAGTCTTCGTCAGGAGAAAGATACGAACGGATAACTCGGTACAAATGTGTGGAAACAATAGTCTTTCAAGTGATGTCTCAATATTGCTATATAGTATAGGATGCCTGCTGCTCACGTCGAGTTCTATATTTGTCAATTTATCTCTCGAGCTGACACGCTCGTGCGTAGTGTCATCTCGATTGTACAATCGAAATAAAATGAATCATCTTCAAACTTAGCAAGTTTTCCTTTTTTTCCTTC